GAATATCCTGTCTCAAAAGAATTAGTTTTTATGGTGTGGAAAAATTGAGTGATATTGCATCACAACGTTTGAGAAATGGAACGAATGTGATTCGGGGTTAAGGGTGACTTCACGCAAAGTTTCATTCAATGGAGGTTATTTTTTTAAATATACGAGTGTTATATAATTCTTACGTGGTAGAGTCACGATGCAGCTCTATTATGGTTGTAGCCTTAATGTGTAGACTCGAATAGGGTAAGACCACGCTTTCACATATTACTAGAGTAAAATAGCAGCTTAATCCTGTTATATTTCGTATGGTGGGTGTAGAGAACCGGATTGGAAACGAGGCATTCCATATCAGTCCTCAGGTGTGACATAGCATCTGCGTTTTGATTCTCAATTGAGAATAAATTTAGATGCCTATGGGCCACAGCATCCACTTGCGATCAGGTGGCCTGTTTGCTCGTTTGTCACTCTTATTCCATATTCAAAAAAAATTTTATCTTATGTTCTTTATCTCAAACTAAGCTATGGTTTTATAACAGCATACAACGTCCTATAGACCGAATTTTGATCACGATGGCCAGTCTCTGCGGAGACTAGCCAAAAGCGCAGGACAGGATTACAGTGTATGGGTGTAAGCGCAAGGAGCACTCTTTATTGCCTTACCCTTATAATATAACGCAATTGACACGATCTGTCTACAATTTTGTGATGAATTCGACTTACTAATTCTAACTATTTCTTGGTATATCATTAAATGTCAATAAATTAATTAATTGTTAGATTGATACTATTTTATGAAACACGAAAATCAAAAATATATAACAACCTATTAAGTTTAGCCATTTCAAACTGCCTAACTCGAGTCCAATTCAAGTTACGTAAATTTCAACACGAGTTAACTCGAGTCGACTTTCTGTGGACTTGGCACAGCTTTACTACAATTATTTTTAATATTACATTACCAGAACCACTAGCGTGAATAACTCTTTTTTTTTCAGACTTCTTGATTCCGTTAAGATTTTCATAAAAACTTTAGGCTATTAAAATAATAAATTGGTATCTTTTTGATGTAATACCATTAAGGGTTGTTAAAATTACCAGTAGGGCCAAAAAAGATAGTCTCCTTTAACGCATCCTTTATTTTTTTGCTGTGTGAAGATTAGGTATTTTCCAATTGTTAACATTTAAAAACTAGTATTTCCGAAAAGATCTCCAACATTAAAAATAAATGATTATAAAGACAATAAAGTTTTTCTAAATTATTAAACGTATGATGTAGTCACAGTAAATTGTGAAAGCTATTCTTTTATTTATTTATTTTTAAAACTATGGTCTAATTTAGGATTGGGATGCTTTTTTTGGAGACCGTTAAAGAAGCTTACAATTATACACATAATTTCAGAAGTGTATAAATTTTATTTACAAAACGAACTTAATACAAATAATGTAACGTTTTAAATTTTTTGTCGTATGAGAGCAGACAGGCAACTTTATTTAATTGAATGTTTTTGAAAATTTCAATCAAAAAAAAATTAATTTTTTTTATAAAAAGTTGAATCAAAAAGTTAATTGTATTGAGAAATACTATGAAATCAAGTTATTCGAAGACCATTAGACAAAACGTTTAAGACCAATTTCATCAATAATAATTAATAAGCACTTGATTACAAGAATGTCGCATTACGACTAAACAGAACATATCGTCCCCGTAGAGCGAAAAGTCATTAAGTCGAAAAATCGTGTTTCGAGATAATGAGAGTTAAAGTTTTTGAAAATAAAAATCGTTATAACATTGGCTTGCCTTTAAATATCTTTACGTTTTTAGTTTTAATTTGAAGGAAATAAAATACATAATATACTATAAGAGATTAAACACGTGAAAAATCTCTAATAATTGAGAAAAAGCTAAAAAGATTTAACTAATTAATTGTTTTCTATCAAATCTATGACTTAGTTGCGAATTAGTTAATTTTCGAACGTAGTTAGTGACTTGTCTCTCAGTTCTAAATTATTTTGTAGAAAATTAACTAGACTTAAGTAAAATCGAACTTACTATTAGGTGTACAAAATATGTATTGTAAATACTACTTAACTGAATATTCGAAGCTTGTATGTTAAGTTTTGTCTTAAATATAACATGATGAAGTAATGAAACTATTGTAATAAATTCAATCAGGATTTGTTGAAACAATTATTCGAAAATATCAACCGAAATCAACGCAAAACTAGGCACAAGAGAAAGCGGTGAGCTGAAGTTAGGGAAATTTGGAGTAGGGCAACGGAACCGAAGGGGCCAGCAGCTGGCCGACTTTATGGAGAAAGAGGGACTCTTTATGATGAACTCTTTCTTCCAGAAGCGGCCCCACAGGAAGTGGACCTGGTCGAGCCCCGACGGTTCGACAAAAAATGAGATTGACTTCATTATGACGACCAGACGCCAACTGTTCAGTGATGTCTCAGTGATCGCAAGGGTGAAAACTGGCAGCGATCACCGAATGGTTAGAGGCACACTGAACCTAAACGTTAAGTTGGAGAGGTCTCGTCTAATGAAGTCAACGCTCCGTCCCCCTCGTGCTCTGATCCAAAATCCCGAAAACTTTCAGCTCGAGTTACACAACCGCTTTCAGTGCCTACAAGATTGCAATGCAGTGGACGATATGAATGACAAGCTCGTGGAAACTGTCCATGCGGTCGGAGCTAAGTTCTGCAAGACCCGCCGCAGAAGAACACAAAAACTCTCCGATCACACTCTTAATCTCATGGCTGTTAGACGGGAGATGAGGCTGCAATCGTCAACAGATTTGACAGCATCATGTCAAGGCTGAAGACTGAGTGTGGCAGCATCGTTTCCGGGACACCTGAGATTTTGAGTGAGATTGAGAGGTTCTATGGGCAGCTGTACACATCATCGTTGGAGCCACACGTAAGTGTGAGTAACGATCCAAGAGCAAGTCTTATCCGACACTATTCCGATGATATCCCGGACGTCAGTCTAAGCGAGATTAGAATGGCTCTCCAGCACCTTAAAAACGGCAGGGCCCCAGGCGAGGATGGAATTACAGCGGAGCTTCTGAAAGCGGGTGGAACACCGGTACTTGAAGTCCTTCAGAAGCTCTTCAATTCCGTCCTCCATGGTGGCACTACTCCAGAGGCGTGGAGCAGAAGTGCGGTGGTCTTGTTCTTTAAGAAAGGCGACAACGCTCTCTTGAAGAACTACAGACCGATTTCCCTTCTGAGCCGCGTCTACGTGCTGTTTTCGAGAGTCATTACGAATCGTCTCGCACGCAGACTCGACGACTTCCAGCCTCCCGAACAAGCCGGTTTCCGAAAAGGCTTCAGTACCATAGACCACATACATACCCTGCGGCAGATTGTACAGAAGACTGAAGAGTACAATTTGCCACTTTGCCTGGCGTATGTGGACTATGAGAAAGCCTTTGATTCCGTCGAAATTTGGGCGGTGCTGCAGTCCCTTCAGCGGTGCCAAGTTGACTGTCGGTATATCGAAGTGCTGAAGTGTTTGTACAGTAGGGCTACGATGGCTATCCGAGTACAGAACCAGAGCTCGAAACCTATCCAACTGCAGAGAGGTGTAAGACAGGGTGACGTTATATCCCCGAAACTCTTCACCGCTGCTTTGGAAGACGTTTTCAAGCTACTGGACTGGAAAGGATACGGTATTAACATCAATGGCGAGTACATCACTCACCTTCGATTTGCCGACGATATAGTCCTTATGGCAGAATCGCTGGAGGACTTAAGCACTATGCTCAATGACCTCAATAGTGCCTCCCAACGGATAGGTCTTAAGATGAACATGGACAAAACAAAGATTATGTTTAATGTCCATGTCACACCTATGCCGGTAGTTGTTGGGAGCACTATGCTCGAAGTTGTTGACGAGTACGTTTACCTGGGACAAATATTCCGACTAGGTAAGTCCAACTTCGACCGAGAGGTCAATCGACGGATTCAACTCGGCTGGGCAGCGTTCGGGAAATTACGACATATCTTCTCGTCAGGTATACCTCAATCTCTGAAAACTAAAGTGTACAACCAGTGCGTGTTGCCAGTGATGACTTACGGATCAGAGACGTGGTCCTTCACTGCTGGCCGTATGAGGACGCTCAAGGTCGCTCAGCGAGCTATGGAGAGGGCTATGCTCGGAGTTTCTCTGCGTGATAGACTCAGAAATGAGGATATCCGCAGTAAAACCAGATTGACCGACATAGCCCAACGGATTAGTAAGCTGAAGTGGCAATGGGCCGGCCATATAGCTCGAAGAACCGATAACCGATGGGGAAGAAAGGTTCTCGAGTGGCAGCCTCGTACCGGTAGGCGTAGTGTAGGGCGACCCCCCACTAGATGGAGTGACGACCTGGTAAGATATGCAGGAAGTCGATGGATGCAGGTGGCTCAGGACCGTGCTTTGTGGCATTACTTGGGGGAGGCCTATGTTCAGCAGTGGACTTGTGAAGGGCTGTGATGATGATGATGATGAACCGAAATCAACAAAATACTATTAGTGTTAAATAAAAACAAAAAGTGCAACAACCTCATGCACACAAACTAAAAAGTGATAGAACTAGTAGAACATAGTTATTAAAAAATAGATTTCAGTCGAATACTTCTTCTTCTCCCTCCTCAGTGACGTCTGGCTCCAAAATTCTGTCTACTACGTCTTTACTTGTTGGTAAAGACTGATACCATAAGTGGAGCTCTTGTGGGATTATCCCCTTTGCACATAAATTATTGAGGTCTTTCTTTTTTTGCCTCTGAAATAGGCAGCGGCGAGGAGTAAGCTGGTGGCATTTTATAATTTTTCAATACTTGCATCAGTTCTTCTGTCCCTTGTCCATCCGTTTGTTCTTCTAGTTTCCTACTCTTTCTAGTAATAAATGTAGATTTTGTCGAACATTCTAAAATATTAAATTCTAGGTAGGGTCCATCATGTTGATATCTAAAGTTAACAAGACCCGAGCATTTTCTCTCGAAACGAAGACACTTAATTTTCAGCCATGTAATTTTATTGCTTTCTTTATCTCTGCTTGTATTTTTTTGCTATTTTTTTCATTAAGAGCTCTTACATCAACCATTTCCGTGTATTTTAATTCTTTAACTGTATAAGGTGGTGCTGAATCCCTGTTTCTTTTAGAGTGAGCACGTTCCATGATCGACTTCCAGTCAATCATGGAATAAACAGGCGTATGTCTTTGCTGTCTTTCTATTGCACTATGCATGGAGTCCACTTCCATATGAGTGTGACCACTCTCTAAATATTTTTGCTCAATAACTTCCAGCTGCCCATCCATCCTTTGAATCAAATGAACCAAAAATGCCGTGATAAATTGGTTTCTATTTTGCCCAGCGCACGTGTCGCTATACATGGTAATTTTTTTAATATTGGTTGGTATCTGACTAATCCACCAGTTAATTGCACTGGCAATTTCCACACTGCCCCTTTTTACCATTAATCTCATTCCAAGTTATACAAAATGCTTCATGAGGTGGTTTCGACGTGTGAATTGTATAATTTTGTACGTTTAATTTTCTGGTGTAATATAAAATACCAATACCACTGACTGGTATATGCAAAGTAGACTGCATGTGCAGTCATGTAGACGTGTTACGTCTAGGTAATTGTCATCAATAATAGATCGCTGTTTGTCCGATTCTTTCGCTTGCTTTGCTTCTTTTTTTCTTGCAATATGTGCATCATATTCCTCCTTCAAATGTTCTGGACGTCCGGCACTATCATAACGAGTGCATGTTATGCATAAGTATTTTTTGGGGTAAAAAATGACAAATTGAATTTAGACCCAAATATTGTTTTATAGACGTAAAAAGAACATGGTTCTTCATTTAATGTTGTTAGTTGCTCTTTATTAATTCGTACATTTTAGCGATTGTCAGTTTGCTCTCCAGGTACTGTCGCTTACTTTTCTTCCTGCAGTAGTGAGATTCGAGCCGGGGAAAAGAGTTTATGTGGTCAATGATCTTCTGTTCAGACTCTAAGCTGGTTTTGTTTACTGGGACTCGAGAACCACGCCCATCCTTCCCTGTATAGTTACCCAACTCATCTCTATATTTCAATGAATCATTTACCGGTCCATTTGAAATGCTTAGAGTTTTTAGAAAAAAATCTTTGCAGACTCGTATTTTATTATCATTTTTATGAAAATAATAATAATAGGTAGCAGTCCGGTTTTTTTTTCGCAGGGATACCAACTTTCATTGTTTTTATAGGCTGGGCCACCACTTTTTGAAATAAAAATTGTTTTTGTGCATTGAAATTTGTGATTTTCCAGTAGGCTTCACACATTTTTCGTCTTTCATCCTCAGAAAAATGATTTTGGCACTGATACCGGCACTTTACGTAGCACTTTACGGGCTTAGGTTTCTTTGCAGGCATGAGATAGCCCTTTTTACCCAAATAAGGCAAACCTTTTTGTTTATTAGATTTAGCTATGTTTTTTTTCCACTTGCTAGGATCGTTTTGTGCCTGCGACTTCGTTCGCATAGAATCAACTTTTGCTTTTTTTCTAAGTGATGATGATTATTGACACCAATTATTTGTCTCATCCTGCAAACTGATGAATAATAAAACTCAAACTAGGAAAAATGTTTGACATTTAAATAATAGGTGTGATTGGGCTTAAAATTTGTTTTCCCTACCACACTGCAATTAAAAACCATTTTTTTTTTCCGACCAAACCATGTATCTTGGTTTGAACACTATACGGTGAGATATTAAGAAAATGAAAAAAAAAACTAATTGCATTATTTTTATCCATAAGTATTCGTACTAAGCTTAAAGTCATAAAAATCATTTAATAATTTTTCTCTACACAAATACGAAACCCGTAAAAAAAGATTATTACAGCTTATTTTTCTATCTAAGGAATTAAATTTTCCAATAATCCTTCTTAGTGAATGCCTACTTAATAAAAGGAAGTTACTGTCCCATATTGTTCGTTGGAGGAAGCCCATGTTCAGCAGTGGACTTGAAGGGCTTGTAATGATGATAATGAGTGAATGAACAACTACACACACACAACACACAGTACACAAATGTTCAAGATACTATAAGTTACTGTGTAGATCGGAACAAAAGTTAAATTTTGATCTATGGTAACCGCGGTTAACTATGACATCTGGACGTTGAACATCTATGTCCCCTCCGTGATCATGGGTGCTGTAAGGCGCTCGAAACGTCGGGTATTTAAAAAGTTAAATATACGCGATAAATTTCGTAAAAACTAGTATTATTTCAAAGTGCAAGCATTGTTGTTTTGCAGCAGAAATAGGTGAAACGGTACCACCCTCTCACTCTAGCAAACGGATCTCCAGACGGAAATGGATTCCTACCACCTTGATATTATATAGATCTTAATTACTGCAATTATTATAAAATTTTATTTACCTTTTTATATTTTCTATTATAATATATTGGTGGAGGTTATCTTTTGCTGAAAAAGTTGTTTCTTTTATTCTGTTTAACTATAATATTTTTGTAAAGCCCGTTTTAGTATTAAAGAAAACCGGAGCTGTTATTATTTACCATGACACAATGACATTTAATTGGCGCTTCTTATACTAACCCCTTTTGTTTTTCAACAACGGTAGCCTTTTGTTCGATTCCTTAATTAAATTCAGCAGTGACCTGATTAAGTTCTTATTCAATAAAACCTGTAGCGGCGCTGTCGTCGCGCCACTAGCACACCGAAACACACCGAAGCCTAAATCGCGCTATTAACATTCCGAATCATAGACAGTATATATAGAATTTCTCCGAACTATCACTTGGAGTGTTGGCCACTCCCCGGGCAGAACAGCATGCCTGGCGGGAGATCTCCTCTTTTCCCTTCTACGGCCACAAACCTAATTGGCATAGGTCATCATAGGTCTTACACATATATACCTCATAAATTCCATGCTTGGTAAGCAAGTGACGACGACGAGCAGATGAGTAGTAATCTCCCGAAAGCTGCCCAGCCGATTTATTTAACGTATTTATGTCGATTAACCTCTCGGTCGAAGTTGGACTTACCTAGATGGAGTATTTGTCCTAAGTAAACATACTTGTCAACAACTTTTGAATTTAGAGCACCCAATAACTACCAGCATAGGTGTGACTTGGACGTTACACATGATCTTTGTTTTGTCCATGTTCATCTTAAGACATTTCGTAGGACTCTTATGTCAATGGGCATAGTTCATATCTTTTCCAGTCCAGTAGCTTGGAAACGTTTTCCAAGATAGCGGTGAAGAATTTCGGAGACACAACGTCACCCTGCACCCTGCAGTTGAACAGGTTTCGTATTCTAGTTCTGTACATAAATAGCCATCGTAGCCGTACTGTTCAAACATTTCAGCACTTCGACATACCCACGATTAACCACTTAACTAAGACTGAAGCACCAACAAAATTTCGGTAGAATAAAAAAGCGAGGGATAAAATGACAGACTGTACTCTTTGGTTACATGTATCTAAAATTTGCCGAAAAGTATGTATAAGGTGTAAATGAGCTTAATCGGGAGGTGCAACACGAGTTGCGTTGAAGTTCTATAAGTCGCGCCACATGTGTTTGGAGATCAGTCTTTTAAATTTCCTGTATGCTGTCATATCTGCTGGAGACTGCAGCTTCACTTTCTCTCTAACAGTCATAACTCTCTCACTCCAACTCAACCTTAAGGTTCATTTGGTTATTGCTACCAGTTTTCACCCTCGCAATCTCTCAGATATTACTGAACAGTTGCCGTCTAGTCATTACAATTAAGTCAATCTCGTTTTATGTAGAACCGTCGGGGCATGATATATCCATTTTTTTGCGGGGCCGCTTCTGGAAAGAGAGTTCATCAGGCTTTTCCATGAAGTTGGCTATTGATTATTTTTAAGTTATCGAGATGATGATGATGTGATCCCCTTATAGTGATGTGTGAGTCTTGCAGTGGTATGCTTGGGTTTATTTTTAATTTTATTAATTACAGGGTCCCAAGCAGGTGGTAGTACCCAGCCTTCTTCTCTATTATAAATTAAGATTTTTTATAATTTCAAAAATGATAAAATTAAAATGAAATGATGAATGAATGAAGATTTTAAAAATGGTAATGCTAAAATTGTGGAAAATTATCGTATCGATACTTTAACCATTTTACAATCAGACAAATTAACTGCATTTTTAGAACATCTTGATTCCATAAACTCTAAAATTCAATTTACTATGGAGTTAAAGGCAAATAATTCCTTAGCTTTCCTAGATGTGATAGTCATCCGTAAATCCTAACAACACCATAGGACACACACTGTATAGAAAAAAGACCATACAAACCGCTATTGATCTTTCTCAAGGTTAAGTATAGGCCGTTTGTTATGTTTATGGAGTTGTCTCCTTAATAAGGACTATTATTTCGATTGCGTTTGTTTAGTAATTTAGACCTTTTAGGTGTCTCTTGGATGGATGAATACTGTACTGGTTCACATAATGATTTCTTAAATTTACGCGAACTCTACACATTGAATAAAACTAAATTTACGGATTTTATCGCGTTTATTTCACTACTTTTACTTATATGATTAAAACTACTTTTACGGATTTAATCGCGTTTATTTTTACTTTTTATTTACTTTTATTTTTAATTCCCGACGTTTCGGGCGCTTTCCAGCACCCATGGTCACGGGGGACTGAGATGACTGACGTCCCGATGTCATTGTTAAACCCGGAGTACCTTCAGCTTTTTTAATTATTGTTTATGGTCCGATCTATGCAAAATGAACTGACTGTCTTGAGGTCTTGAAGTGGTATGCTTGGATTTAGTTTTAATTTTATTGATTATAAGAACGAAAGCAGGTGGTAGTACCCAGCCTCCTTCTCTATTGAAATTAGGATGTTTTTTAATTTCAATAGCCTCACGTATCATCCTTGGTAGGAATCGGTGTTCTTTCGCGAGGATTTGTGGTCTATCAAATCTGATGTAATGGTTGGGTCCGTCTAGGATATGATCACAAACTGCAGACTTCCCGGAACGTTGATGCTTCACATCAGCTATATGTTCTTTTACGCGGGTCCTAATTGATCTCTTTGTTTGCCCTATATATGAGAGACCACAATCACAATCAAGCTTGTACACTCCTGCATCTTGTAGAGGAATATGACACTTGACGGATGGTAGGAACTGACTAATCTTCTTCGGCGGCTTGTAGAATGTTCTAATAGAAGCTCGCTTCAAGATATAGCCAATCTTGTCTGTGACACCTCTGACATATGGTAGTACAGCAGGCACACGCTCGACTGTGGCCGGCTTCACTCGGTCACTGTGACGTAGGCGCGGGACCCGAAGCTTGTTGTCGTGCAGAACTTGCTTGACGTGCTGAAGCTCGGCGGCC